GAGTGCCAGCTGCGCCCCGCCTGTCCGCCGCCGCTGTGGGGAACTAGCCGCCCCCGCCCCCGAGTTTTGGACCCCGGGGTCGCCAAGTCCGATGCCTTCGGTCCCTTTTATTTTTTCTGCTGCTCCCGGGGGCGAGTACACCAGAAGCCGGCCCAGGGTAAGGGCTTGGGCTTGGGCAAGGGCAGGGTTCGCAGGCGCTGGCATGAGGCCGGCGGCTGCCCCCGACCCTTCTGGGGACTGACTGGTCTGCAGGCTGGGGAGGCGGCCGGCCCCAGGAGCGTGTCCTCTCCTTACGCCCCACACAGTGCAGTTCATTCATGAGCCGCCCGGGCCTGCGTTGGAGGGTGCGGTGGGGAAAAGATTCAGACGCGGAACGGAGAGTGGGGCAAAGGCCCTGTTGCGGGGAGGGGGCGCCGCTTTGTCCCTCCTGGCTGTCTTGAACGCCTAAGGCGGACAGTTCCAAAGCTTGGCTTCTTGTTCCCCAGAAAAGGAAAGGACGCTTGGGAAGTGAGGAGGAGAGGTCAGAGGCTGCCCTTGGGGCTCTGTGTTGCCACCTGCCTGGGTCCCCTGGGCAGAGGTCTGGCCGCTCAGGGCAAGCTTGAGCACTCCACTGCCCTGGGGGGCTGGGGCTTGCCTACCCAATACCGGTCTGCAGCAGCCTGGGAGCAATGAGGCTGTGCCCAACACCTGCTGAAGAGGGGCCCATCCTGCCTCCCAGGCCAGGATGAGGAGGGGAGTGGGAGTGTCAGCCAGGCTTCAAGTGGGGGTGTGCTGGCAGCATGATTGTCCTCCAGGGCACCAGAGGGTCCAGGCCCTGGCATGCCCCAGGTGGCACATGCTGGGGCCTGCTGTTGGCTCACTCAGTGCAGTCTTGGCCTGTGGGTGGGTGGGGACATGGCAAGGCAGAAGTCAGGCAGTGGGTAACTAAGAACCCCCTTGGGACATCATACAAGTTTCCTCCAAGTATAGCAGAGTCTTAGAGACCTGAGTTCAAACTCTAGCTCTACCATTCTTCAGCTGTGTGACCTTGACAAGTTACTTAACCTGTCTGAACCTCAGTTTTCATTAAAAAGTGTGTTTATGACTATAATTCCAGCACTTTGGGAGACTGAGGCAGACAGATCACTTGAGGTCAGGAGTTTGAGACCAGCCTGGCCAACATGGTGAAACCCCATCGCTACTAAACATACAAAAATTAGCCAGGCATGGTGGCACACACCTGTAATCCCAGCTACTCGGGAGGCTGAGGCAGGAGAATGGCTTAAACCTGGGAGGCAGAGGTTGCAGTGAGCCGAGATCGTGGCACTTCACTCCAGCCTGGGTGACAGAGCGAGACTGTCTCAAAAAAAAAAAAAAAAAAAAAAAATGTGGTTACTACCACCTCCTTACAAGTTGTATCATGGGGATCAAACAAGGTAACAAGTAAAGAGCTTGACATCCTTCCTGGTAGTTGATCAATAATGGGTTATCATCTCTGAACTTCTGACCCATTACTCTCCCATGCCTCTACCTCCCAGGCTGCCACAGATGCATGGGGTATGGTTCAAAGAGTGAGAATATTCCCTATCACTCACTGGCAGAATCCTTAACACAGTATAAACCCTTAGGTCTGAATAAGAAGCCCAACCTGACTAAGGGGGTCTGTTATATTTCTATCATGTTAAATTCTGTGTTTTTATCTTATTTTTGTTTTCACCAGTTTTCTTTCTCTAAACCAATCCCTTTTATTCCATACCTTATTAATAACAATAGCTAATTCTTGGAGCCTATTATATGCCTTGAACTGTATTAAGAGCTTTTAATCCCCAGAACACCGACACAACTGGATTATTGTCCCATTTTACAGATGAAGAAACTGAGGCCCAGGGTGACTAAGTAATTTTCCCAGGTTAGAAGCCTGGTCTGTCACATCCTAGAGTCTGTGCTTTTAACCACCAGACTACGGTGCCTGTCCCCTACACCTGCCTCAGAACCTGAAATCACAAACCCAAGGCCTGAGTGGAAGGAAGCTATAAGCAAGAGGAAAGGCAAGCAGGTAGAAATAGGGTATGGCATTTCTCCAGAGTGGTAACTGGCTGCCTCCAGCTCCCTGGTGGAAGTGACTCTTGTTTGCAGATATCTCTGCAAAGTGCGGTGATTAAGAGCATACACTTGAGCCAGGCAGCCTGGGTCCTTTTCTGGGTCTGCACAGACTGGCTATATGACCTTGAGTAGCTCATATACTCTCTCTGTACCTCAGTGTCCTCCTGGGGTTGTGATGGGGAGCGAATGAGTTACATTTGTAAAGTGCTTAGAAGAGTGCTTGGCACAAAAGAAGAGTTAAATAAACATTTTTAATACATGTGTTATTTTACTACTTTTTTTTCTGTTTTTCTTTTTTCTTTCCTTTTTTTTTTAGACGGGGTCTCTGTCTGTCACCCAGGATGGAGTGCAGTGGCATGATCTCGGCTCACTGCAGCCTGGAACTCCCTGGGCTCAGATGATCCTCCCACCTCACCTTCCAGAGTAGCTGGGCCTACAGACGTGCACCACCATGCCTGGCTAAATTTTGGGGGGGTATCTTTTGTAGAGACAGGGTTTTCCTGTGTTTTCCAAGCTGGTCTCGGACTCTTGAGCTCAAGCGATTCTCCCACCACAGCCTCCCAAAGTGCTGGGATTATAAGTGTGAGCCACCATGCCTGGCTTTTTTTTTTTTTTTTTTTTCCTGAAGACAAGGTCTTGCTCTGTTGCCCAGTTTAGAGTGCAGTGGCATGATCATGGCTGACTACAGCCTCCAACTCCTAGGCTCAAGGGATCTTCCCCACTTGGCTTCCAAAAGTGCTCAGATTACAGGGGTGAGCCACCCCACCCTGCCTACTACTACTTTTTTTTTGAGATGGAGTCTCACTCTGTCACCCAGTGGCGTGATCTAGGGTCACTGCAACCTCTGCCTCCTGGTTTCAAGCAATTCTCCTGCCTCAGCTTTCCGAGTAGCTGGGACTACAGGCTCGCGCCACCATACCCAGCTAATTTTTGTATTTTTTTAGTAGAGACGGGGTTTCACCATATTGGCCAGGCTGGTCTCGAACTCCTGACCTTGTGATCTGCACACCTCGGCCTCCCAAAATGCTGGGATTACAGGTGTGAGCCACCGTGCCTGGCACCTACTACTACTTTTATGCTCACTTGTGGATATATTCTTTGCCTATCCCTCTGAAGTGGGTAGGGGGTAGAGTAAGAATATTCATATCTCTTTGTTACAGATTGGAAGACTGAGACTTAGGTTTCATAGTAACAGAGCTAGCTTCCATCTTCACCTCCTCCCCTCAGACCACATGGCCTTGCTTTGATCCCAAGCCCTAACTTAAATCTTGTCCAGTAACTCCATTGAAAAAGTTTATATCACGCCTGTAATCTCAGCACTTTGGGAGGTTGAGGCGGGCAGATCATGAGGTCAAGAGATTGAGACCATCCTGG